TACATACTATTATTAACATGTAAACTTAAATCATATTATACATATTGTTGTAGTGATAATTTAAAATAATATCTTCTCTTACATTTAAAAACTACCTTAAAATAACCAAACTGAAACCTAACGTCATACGTCATACCTATATTATTATAATTAATATAATTAAAATATATATTGTTTATTTAAAATTTATAAATTTGGATAGACAATCTTTTTGTATATGTAAAAACTTTAAGATATAATTAAGTATAAAAAATAAAAGATAATGAATAAAAGTTAATCAAGAAATGAAAGTTTAAAAACTTAACAAGTATTGTTAGTTGTAACTTTTCAACATTAATAAGAAAACTAGTACGACACCCGTGTACTACACGGGGTGTTTGAAAAAAAAAAATATAAAACATAAAGCAATAGAAAAAACACATGTTGTTGAATGAAAGTGCAAAAATTGAAAATACCAAAGTCGATATTATTTTAAATTTTAACAAATTTCTTTGTACACAACATTAATTGTCTTATCTACAATTTTTCAATCCTTATTGCAACACAAAATTTTCAAACATCTCCTACTCTTGAAGAACATGATACTGAATTATGTTTGGACATTTCTTTCAAACTACACAAGAAGGTAGGAATTAATAAATAATGAACAATAAATTATCCCTCCATCAAGAGTGAATAATAAATAATAAATAATTATACAATACAGACCTCTTAGTGAATTCAACTATCTCATTCATATCTTCATTTATTATGAGGTTACTTGCAAAAAGTGAATTTTGTAAATTCACATGTGCTGCACATACAAAAATACATTGTCAAAAAGTTTATGTAAATACAATAAATGAGTTAAATATAGCAAACACACAAATAAAAATAAAATATCCGTTCACCTCCCCAGCGTTTAACCATAGCATATTGGAGAATAAACAACCGGCGCATCTATTTTGTCCTTCCAGAAGTCAACCATTTGAACAGCAAATTGGTTCCATAGTGTACATTCCATAGTTTCTCCACTATAGAAAAGTCAATGAAATTGCATATAACCAAATTTCGGGTTGTTAGAACTATAATCATGCAAAAGTGATTTTAAAATATTTTGTAGTATAAATGATATATTTCACATATGAATCAACTATTGACAGGAAGAGAATGATAATATATATATAAGATCATATATTGTACATCATATATGATTATATTAAATATTTCAC